GAGGAGAGGGAGAGGGGAAACTGCAGTCAGGATGTTAAATAAGTAAATAAGTAAATAAATAAATAAATGAATAAATAAAATTAAAAAATAAAAATTTAAAAGACGTGTGAAACTGTGGAAGCAAATAAAATGAATTCAGTGTTCATCCTGAGATGGGGCTGTTTAATTCCAAAGATAGTACACCAGACTAGAAGCAGTAAAGACAAAGGCAAACATTAAAGAAAGAGAAAAAAATCTAAGCCTCATTAATGTAACAATATCCAGAGCACTTTTCCTAAAACCACCACCAACAACAACAACAAAATACTAGTTAAAAGGGGAAATAATTGTACAAGGAGTAGATAGGGAAAATAACACTTAAATTTCAAGATATTTTTAAGACTTGAGACATTCTTGCATACTTCAAATGCTTTTAAAGAGTTTTGATTAGATGAATACTGTGTAAGGAAAATAAAATATGTGCACAATTGCTTAGAGTTGCTAAAAAATCAGTAGTAGGTGAAGAACACAGAAACTAATGTGATTGGTTACTGGTTAATGGGGTGGACCTGCCATGCAAAATCCTCACCAGAGATTTCAGAAAAAATAGAGATGGCTTGGCCAATCCAATTGGAAACACTTATGACCAGAGAGGCTGCAGCCGCCACCATGACCAGAGACGCTGCAGCCGCCGCCATGACCAGAGACACTGCAGCTGCCGCCATGACCAGCAGCATATGAAGACGCTAGTAAGCCACCAGCCACATGGCAAGGTATAGATGTATGGAAATGGATCAATTTAAGATAAAAGCACAGTTAGCAAGATAAGGACAGTTAGCAGGAAGCCTGCCACGGCCATATGGTTTGAAAGCAACATAAGTGTCTGTGTTTACTTGGTTGGGTCTGAGCGGCTGTGGGACTGGAGGGTGACAGAGATTTGTCCTGACTGTGGGCAAGGCGAAAAAATCAAGCTACAGGTATCAGTAATCCCCAGTGGCTAGCTTTAAAGAGGAACATAAAATAAGGCTTCCCCAGAGTATTGCTTTTTGTTAGTCACTTGGAACTATATTGTGTATTTAACATAAAGCAATGAAAACTACATTTTAATCATTTTTGAAAGAAATGTAAATTTTGCTACTATACCTTATTTTTAATATATTTTTAAATTTTCAAACATATAGAAACGTTGAAATACATGGCCAGTACTGCTTCTTAGTCTGACACACACTGATTTAATGTGCACAAACCTACCCAGTCTTCTATCTTATTTGTAAACATCAGAAAACTTAAGCAGCTCATAAATGTGTATGTGATTTACTAATGGTGTTTTTTATTTAGAAATTATTTTGAGTTAGCTTAGTTCATATTTCCAAGTAATTTTTGCAAAGTAATATTTTGAGTGTTTAGCTTGAACTAAAGATAAAAACTAGCCGGGCGTTGGTGGCGCACGCCTTTAATCCCAGCACTCGGGAGGCGGAGGCAGGCGGATCTCGGTGAGTTCGAGGCCAGCCTGGGCTACCAAGTGAGCTCCAGGAAAGGCGCAAAGCTACACAGAGAAACCCTGTCTCGAAAAACCAAAAAAATAAAAAAAATAAAAAAATAAAAGATAAAAACTAATATAAATATTAAAGTAGCAGTACATTTGTTTCCATTAGTGAAATGAAATGCAGTTCAGAAACTCCTTATATGTATTCTATGTTGAACAAATAAATACATGATAAATAATTAAAATTAAAACTAATTTTCTCAACTGTTGAAATTATGATAGAGGTTATAAGGAAGAGTATTGCTGTGTGCTGATGGATTAGAATTGGAGTGAGTATAAGTACTGGTGCTTTCATGCATAAATACAGGAATATAGATGTTTATTAGTGGACACACTTGCATGGGTTTCTGGCTCTTCGAGCCGTTCAGAGGCCCTAGAAATAGTAATATTTTAACAGAGCTGATCACACCTACAAGTTAAGTTTTAGTCTCTGCCTGCCATTCTCTACTAAACTGAACCATAGCTCTTAGAGAAGTGATTGATTTCAGAAAAATAGAACATAGGCTAGAATACCTTGTTGGTAGAAGAGAGTGAGAATCCATTTCTGCTGCTCTAACAAAGTTCCCGAAGCTGGGTAATTTGTATAATGGAAGTGTATCACTCACAATATTAGGAATAGAGTGTACAGTCAAGGTACCAGCAGGTTCCATATCGTTAGAGTTTCTTTATGGTTTAAGATGGTTTTTTGTCACTACACCCAAAGGTGGTAATGCTGTAACCCTACTTGGCAAAAAGTGCAAAGAATAACTATAGTAAAAATGACAGGTTACAAAAAGTTTTGGTAAGAATCCACACCCACTCCTGGAAAGACTGTCAAGTGGGATGGCTTCTTTGGAAAAAGTCTTCTAGTTCCTCAGTAAGTTAGAGTTATCATCTGATCTTCCAATTCTTCCCATTTCTAGGGATATACACAAAAGAATTTAATGTGTGTACACACCAAACCTTGTACATGAATGTTCATAGCATCAGCATTTGTGATAGGTACAAAGTGGAAACAGCTGAAATGCCCATCAGCTGCTCAAGAGATAAATAAAAGGTGGTCTATCCATACAACGGAGCCCTGTTCAGCAGTAAAAAGAAATTAATGAATAATATAACATAGATGAATCTGGAAAGCAATGTGTTGCTTAAAAGGAGGAGATCATGTAGGACCGTGTACACTATTTACAGGAAATGTGCAGGACAGATCATCTGTAAAGACACATGGTAGAGCACTGGCTGTCTAGTACTGAGAGAATGGGCTATGAGTGTAGGTAAGGATGGTATGATAAGATGTGTGGGTTGGCTGGGCGGTGGTGGCGCACACCTTTAATCCCAGCACTGGGAGGCAGAGCCAGGCGGATCTCTGTGAGTTCAAGGCCAGCCTGGTCTACAGAATGAGATCCAGGACAGGCACTAAAACTGCACAGAGAAACCCTGTCTTGAAAAAAGCCCCCCACCCCACCCCCAAAATGTGTGGGTTGTTTTTACAGGGGTTAAAAAAATGATCTGTGCTTGATTATAGAGATTGATGTACAAATATATAAGGCACTTTAAGCTCACTGAGAAAGCCATATGTAAATATTCTTAGCATAATCTGCCAATGTTTTTACCCTGCATGTCAATAAATGCTGTTGTTAGGAACTGCTTGTGAAATATTTTTTAAAGTAGCATTCATGTTTGGATAGACAAGATGTATGAAATCATGTATTTGGTCTGCACTCAATATTACTGATCAACACAGTAGCAGAAAATGTTAGAATCATCTAACGTTTAAAATATTATAGCCGGAATTATTCTTCTTTATTTTGTGTTTTACTTGCATGCATGCCTGGTGCCCGGTGCCCATGGAGACTGGAAACAGATCCCCTGGAATTGTACTTCAGATAGTTGTAGAGTACAGATTTGCGTGCTGGGCTCTCTGCAAGAGCAGTGTGCATTCCTAACCACTGGGCCATCACTCCAGCCCCCAGGATTACTCTGAAAGTCATGTCTTAGCTGACTGAGGAAGGGCAGCTGGTTACAGGCACACAGAGACAGAGCTGAGACTGACTGAGTGGTTGATGGGGGGTGACTGAGGAAGGAGAGCTGGTTACAGGCACCCACAGACAGAGCTGAGACTGACTGAGTGGTTAGTCGGGGGGAGGGGTTGCTCACTGCTCTGTCAGTTTTTATAGCAAAGTCTCTCTTTTTCTGTCACTTATTTCAAAATCTCATTTAAAGTGATCCATGAGGTACGGGGGGATGTAGTTAGCTTAATTCTTAACTTTTAAGCAAATAAGAAAGTGATGGCGCACGCCTTTAATCCCAGCACTCGGGAGGCAGAGCCAGGCGGATCTCTGTGAGTTCCAGGCCAGCCTGGGCTACCAAGTGAGTTCCA